TCCTTCTCCGTACAAAGAATTACTGTCCTCATCGCTGTCTGATGACTCTGAACTACTGCTCTTATAATTAGGGGGTAGAGCTGGTCCTGCAACTAAAGATTTCTCGTGTATGTCATAACTAGCCACAACTGTTCCAATGAAGCCCCGGCTGACATTCTATACTTTCTTTTCTGAATTCATAGCATTGGCTGGCTATCTTTTATTATGGACTTTAATCTTATTTGCTCCTGGGTTTTTTTTTTTTGTACAAGAAGAAATAAAAGGCATCCAAATTAGAGAGGAAGAAGTAAACCTGTCATTATTTGCAGGTGACATGATACTGTATATACAGAACCCTAAAGATTCCACCAAAAACTTATTAGAACTGAATTTAGTAAAGTAGAATACAAAATAAATATTTAAAAAATCAATTGTATTTTTGTACACCAATAATAAACTATCAGAAAACAATCCCATTTTCAATTGCTTCAAAAAGAATAAAATACCTGTGAATAAATTAACCAAGGATGTAGAAGACCTGTACTCAAAAAATTATAAGATACTGAAGAAAGAAATGGGAGAAGATACAGATAAGTGGAAGCATACACCGTGTTCATGGATAGGTATCCTTACTTCTCAAAGCAATCTATAAATTCAATGAATTCCTATCAAGATATCAATGGTGTATTCCACAGAACTAGAAAAAATACTCCAAAACCTTATATGGAAACACAAAAGACCCCAAATAGCCTCAGCAATCTTGAGAAAGAACGAAGATGGAGGAATCACACTCCCTGATATCAACTATACTACAAAGCCATAGTAATCAAAACAGCATGGTAGTGGTATAAAAACAGACATATAGATAAATGGAACAAAATAGAGCCCAGAAATAAACCCACGCCTTTATAATCAATTAATATTTGCAAAAGAGGCAAAAACATACAATGGGGTAAAGATAGTCTATTCATAAATGGTGTTGGAAATACTGGACAGATACGTGCAAAAAAATGAAACTAGACCATTTTTTGACACCATACCCAAGAATACATTTGAAATGGCCTACAGACTTAAAACCATAAAAATCCTAGAAGAAAGGATAGGCAGTAAAATCTTGGACATTCCTTATAGCAATATTTCTTCTGATATATCTCCTCGGGCAAAAAACAAAAGGAAAAATAAACAAATGGGACTACATCAAACTAAAAAGTTTTGCACAGCAAAGGAAACCATCAACAACATGAAATGACAACCCACTAAAGGAGAGAATATATTCATTGATATATCTGATTAGGACTTAATACCCAAAATTTGTAAGGAACTTACTTAACACCAAAAATCCCCTAAACAATCTAATTAAGAAATGGGCAAAGGCCCTGACCAGTTTGGTTCAGTGGCTAGAGCGTCGGCCTGTGGACTGAAGAGTCCCAGGTTCGATTCCGGTCAAGGGCATGTAACTTGGTTGCAGGCATATCCCCAGTAGGGGGTGTGCAGGAGGCAGCTGATGGATGTTTCTCTCTCATGGGTGTTTCTAACTATCCCTCTCCCTTCCTCTCTGTAAAAAAATCAATACAATATATAAAAAAAAAAAAAAAAAAAAGAAATGGGCAAAGGACCAGAATAGACACTTCTCCAAAGAGAACATACAGCTGGCCAAAAGGCATATGAAAAGATGCTCAATGTCACTAATCATCAGAGAAATGCAAATTAAAACCACAATGGGATATCACTTCACACTTGTCAAAATGGCTATCGTCAAACATCAACAACAACAAATGTTAGCAATGATGGGAAGAAAAGGGAACTGTTGTGCACTGTTGATAGGAATGCAGACTGGTGCAGTCACTGTGGAAAGCAGTATGGAGTTACCTCAAAAAATTAAAAATGGAATTGCCATATGGCCCAGTGATTCCACTTCCGGAAATTTATCCAAAGAAACCCAAAACACTAATTTGAAATAATACTATGTATGCACCCCTATGTTCATTGCAGCATTATGTACAGTAGCCAAGATTTGGAAGCAGTGCAAGTGTCCATCAGAAGATGAGTGCATAAAAAAACCGTGGTATATTTACGCAGTGGAATACTACTTGGCCGACAAAAAGGAAATTTTACCCTTTGCAACAGCATGGATAGACCTGGAGAATATTGTGCTAAATGAAATAAGACTGAGAAAGACAGGTACCATTTGATTTCACTAAATGTAGAATCTAATAAACAAAATGAACCAACAAGGAAAATAGTGACAGAGTCATAGAGAGCAGGCTGACATCTGTGGGGGGTTGGTTGGGGTTGCAGAGCTGGGTGAAGGGATTGACCAAAAAAGAAAAAAAAAAGAGAGAGAAAAATCATGGGCACAGACAACAGTGTAGTGATTCCTGCGGGGAGGTGTAGAAGGGTATAGGGAGGATAAATGGTGATGGGAAGAGACTTGACTTGGGGTGTTGAACACACAATGTAGTGTACAGATGATGGGTGGTAGAACTGTGCACCTGAAATCTGTGATATTTAGTTAACCAGTATCACCCCAATAAATTCAATAAAATTTAAATTAAATTGAAAACCAGAATATATGAAAATTAAGAACTTATGTTCATCATAATATACTAATGAGAGATCAAAAGCCAACTCATAGAATTAGAGAAAATATTTGCAGCACACATCTCTGAAAAAAGATTCATGCTGAAAAATGACTTTTGTCCAGACTATATAAAGAACTCTACAAACCAGTAAGAAAAGGGACAACTCAAAAAAAAAAAATGAGCAAAACACTTGACACATATCCAAATGACAAAACAAAAAACAAAAAACCAAACCCATGAAAAGGTGATCAACTTTACTGTCACCAGAAAAATACAAATTAAAGCTCTATGAGATATTGCTACAAATCATCAGATTTAAAAACCAGATACAAGTATTAGTGAGAATATGGAATGAGGATTCTCATATATGCTGGTGGGAGTGTAAATTGGTACTACTTTGGAAACTGGTAGAATTTACTAAAGATGAATGAATATATGCATATCCAGTGACCCAACAATTATGAGATGAAAAAGGTTGAATGTCGCTACTCTAGGTGGAAACATGGCCTCCGGGTAGTCCAAGAACAAAAATTAGATTGAGAAATGGGAGAGTTAATCTTTTGGCTTTATTCTTTTCCAACTTTAGTGTCAGAACCTGCCTACGAATTAGAGCAAACGTTAAAGGAGATAGATATGCATGGAGGAGTCTGAAAAGCATTTACTTGACAAATACAAAGTGCTACTATGTTAAGGCCAGAAGACTCTAGTGCAATGGCGGAGACAGATAAGCCAACCAGTTATTCGAAAACAATGTGTTAAATACATGATGTATTTAAGTAGGAGAAAAAAACCATGAGTAAAGAAGAAGGCATGACAATGCCTGGGAGAGTTTGGGCAAGGCTTCACTGAGGTGACATTTACGTTGGGCTTTCAAGGATGAGGTAGGAGTTTGTCAGGTATGCCAAATGCAGAGTGAAGCCAGAAGGAGATTAGAGAATTGAACTGCCAGAAACTCTAACTGGTTTGAGCACGGGGCCGTGTGTGAGATGCAATGACAGAAGTAGAAGCTAGGATGGATGGTCAGGCTAGAGAGCACAGTATCTTCTCCAAGAGCTGGAGACGCTGTATATCGGAAGGCAGTAAGACACAGAATCCTGGTTTCATTCTAAATAGGGCTCCACCACTGACTAGCTGTGTGATCTAGGTAACAGCCTGAGCCTCAGTGTCCCCAACTGTCACATGGGAATGGGTACAAAAAGGGGGGCTCTGTAATAACACTGACAAGGTCACTGTGGGCCACGTGGCAGATCTGATCACAAATTCCTACTGGGCAGCTCATAGAAGGTAGTCACACCTCAAGCCTATAGTCAATCTTCACGCTAAGTGAGCCCTGTCCATTGTTCTTATGCATGTAGGACAACATACCTTTGAAATGATAGCATAATTTTCTAGACCCCTCAAAGGCACCATTGCAGGCACCAGAGCACAGGACCACCAGAGGACACCGGAGCCCTCGTTATCTTGTTGCATACCATGTACTATAAATTTTAAGTGACTATCCTGTACACACCAATGTAAAAGTGTTTCTTCACTTTGCTTTTGCCATTCTTTAGAGCATTTTCTCAACCCGTTCAGATCTTTATTCGGGGCATGTCCACAAAGATTTGGCTTAAATAGCCCCGTCGCTGTGGCTCAGTGGTTGAGCCTCGACCCCATGAACTGGGAGATCACGGGTCAGTCAGATCCCTGGGCTCGGTCTCCAGTGGGGGACGTGCAGGAGGCAGCCGATCAATGATCTCTCTCATCATTGATGTTTCTAATCTCTGTATCCCGCTCCCTTCCTCTCTCTGAAATCAATAAAAATATCGATTTCTACAAAACTTTTCTATAAGTTTGGACACGTTCTTTTCTCGACAGCAAGAACAATCTCTAACTTACACAGCTGCCACGAGGATTAACGGACTGAATGGGTATCGATAGTTTCGCAAAGCGTCCAGCCATTCAACGCTCAGCGGGAACACATCACTATTATAATAACTACCAGATCGGAACTCGTTTCCGAGCCCCCACGCCTCCTTCCCACACTGGGACGGCTTGGGAAGCAAAGTCAGCTCGGGTCGCCCACACCCCACTGCCCACTTCCCCGCTCTCCAGGCCTGACTGGCACTCAGACCGCTGGGCGGGCAGGGAAGGACCGGGTGGGGGGGGGTCCCGCTCCTTGTCCGCAGCTTACCGGGGCTGGGGTCCCGCTCCTCGTCCCCCGCGGCCCCGAGGGCCTTGAAGCCGGGCGGCAGTGCCGGCCCGATCAGATCCCTCGCCATGCGCGGTGGCCGGTAGCGAACCCGCTGGCAAGTCTACGTACACGGTGTCAAGCCTTCCTCCTAACCAGCCTGCGAGCCTTCGCAGATGCAGGAAGTTTTCCCGGCGCGGACCGATGACATTTCAGCTTGTGGTTGGCTGAGCCGCGTAACTCGCGATGACGGAAGTGACGTGGGGCCGGCGCCAATTCGCACGCTGGGCTCCCAGACTGAAGGTGGCATGGCTGAGCCGGCGAGCGGGTTCGTGACTCCCGCGGGATGGTTTGCGGCCCCGGAGCGGATCCCCACGCTGGGGCCTCTGAGCGACCCAGTCCCGCTGCAGCACAAGTGGATGCTCTGGGCCATGTTGCCGCCGCCGCCGCCGCCGTCGTCGCCGCCTCCCGCCGCGGGGTCGGAGCCCGGCTCGGATACGCAGCCCCCCACGGACACCCAGGCGCTCCCCGAGGCGCCGCCGCGCTTCGACGCCCCGGTTCTTCCCGGGACCCAGACCCTCTTCGACACCCAGTCCCGCCTTGATGCTCAGCCTCAGATCAGCGGCCAGCCTTCTTGGAGTTTCCAGGCTTCGACATCTTGGCACTGGAGACCGTCTCCTAGCAGTTTCCCTCCGCATCAGACGTCCCACCACACCCCGGGTAGGCTGCTGCTCCCCCCGTGCCACCCCCTGCCTTTCCCCTCCTTCTCCCCTTCTTCCCTCTTCAATTTCTCTGCCTTCCCCGCCCCTTCTGATTTTGCGCTGCACTCGTGGGAGTCTGATCACTCATGTCTCACAATTGGTCCGACAGGAATGTTTTCCTTGCCCTTTCATTCAATTGAGCGGTTGGTTATGGTGTTCCAACTATGTATCGGGAACTGGGAATGTGGTAGGAAACATCTGGTGTAGGAAAACAGACCAAATGAAGGTGTGTTTGAAGGCAGCGTGTGCTACGGAGGGAGATAAAGAAAAGACGGATAGGTAGTGCAGTTTTAAATGTCAGTCCTAAGGAAGGTGACATTTGTGAAAAGACATCAAGGAGGCGAAGGATCAGACCGGGGGTACTTCTGGGGGAATAGGGATACAGGTGGGACCAACAGCGACTGCAAAGGCCTTGAGACAGGAGCTGTACAGATCCGTGTGTCTGAAGAGGTAGAATTGTAGAAAATTGCGGGATAGGGCAGACCTGTGAGGGCTTTGTAGTTGATGGGACTTGGATTTTTACTGTTGTGATATGAATAGTGCAGAGGAATGACATGATTTGATCTATATTTTTAAAGGATTAATGTGACTACCAATAGGAATCGAATGAAAGGGAGGCCAGTTAGGAAGTTATTGCAGTTTTCCAGGTGAGAGAGATTGGGGACTTGGACCAGGGTGGGTCTTAGGGTGGGGCTCTGGAGGTGACTCTAGATATATTTTGAAGGTAGAGTAGGACCCAAACCATTTGCTGTAGGTAAAGAGATACGAATAACTTAATAGTTTTTTTGCCAAGCAACTAGAGAGGATGTGGATAGAGCAGATTTGGAGAGCAGACCAGGAGTGAGTTAGAAATATGTGTGTCAAGTAGAGATGTTGAATAGGCTGTTAGCTATTTAGTACTTTCAGGGGAGGTTTGTGGCTGGAGTTGTAAATTTAGGTGTCATCAGCATACAGATCATATTTAAAGACATGATATTGTTCACTATTCTCCAACTCTGCATAAACTTCCTTTTACATTACACTGAATCTAAATCAGTGTTTATTCTGTGCCAAATGCTAGGAATATCAATGTGCCTAAGGCAGTCCTAAGTCGGGTGAGATGGTTCATAAATGTAAATCACAATACAGTGTGACTGGTGATAGAGGCATATAAAAGGTGATTTCTGAGTGTTGAGGCTTTGGGAACAGCTTTTGGGAACAGCTTGGGAGATGTTTAGGAAGAGATACTTTTAAGGCAAAGGCAAAGAGGTGTCAGTACAAAGAGAGTTCTGAAGATTACAGTGTTCTAGTGTGACTGAGGCAGAGTATGTGGGAGGTATGGGGAAAGAGTGAGAAAATATACCAGGATCTCATGAAGGACTCTAGGAAGCCATGTGCAGATTTTGAGTAGAGTTGTGATGATTGGAGGATTATTTTTTGTGGTGTCAATGTGCAGGGTCTGTTGGTAGAAACTGGCAAACAACTTGGGAGGCTGTTACAGTAATCTGGGTGAAAGATCAGGGCTTCAGAGTTGGGTCATGGCAATAGGGAAGGAAAAGAATTTAGGAGAAAAAGTATTTCACGAGGTTGTTTTCTGGTGTAAAATTGATGTTGAAAGAGCTGTAAAGGGTTTTTACTGTTTACATTTCTAGTGTTTGAAATAACTACATTATTGCACATAATGTTTGAAATAATCTGAATTTTATCAGATTAGCTTGCCCATTGCTTAGATGCCTAAAGCATTTATGGACACTTAATCTTGCCACCATGTATTAATTGGAAAAATGTTTATTTGATAGACAAATTAATCTTTGATAATTTGTTCAAGCTATTCTTAGAAGGTGCAGTTTACCACTTTTTAACTCAAGTATTTGTGACATGCTACAGCAAATACAATTTTAAATAATTGTTTCATTGCAAACATTTATGGATCTCTTTTTGTTTTTCAGTTAAACATTCTTATTTTCCACAACAATATGATGCAGAGTTTACTGACTTCAACTTCCCTCCCAGTAGAAAACATAAAAAAAAGGTATTTTTAAAAATGTTTTTGAATGTAACACTTTGGTCCCTATGTTACTCTTCCATATCTGTGCTTCTATCATAACTCTCTTAGTGTTTTGCACCCATTATTGACACAGTGGAGCCTTGCTATAATAAGATCTTTAAGGATCTTAGCTTAAGTAAATCTTTTTGATAAATAAATAAAAAAATTATAGATAAAGGAAACATTGAATTCATTTCACTATAGTGTCAGGAGTATTATTGAGAATTAGGATTATAGATAAATGTAAATGTTATTAAACCTCAGTGAAGTAAAACATATAATATATAAATTATATATGAATATTACTAGAAGATTGGTAGGAGTGATGGAATTAAAAATCTTTTGAATGTTTTTTAAGGAGGAACAACTCTTGGTTATGTTCAGAAACCAAGTCTTAAAATGGGCTTGCTTTATTCTGATGTTTACAATCTGGCCTTTCAACTTCTAAAGTATATAAATAATGTTATTAGTTGAATAAGATTCTTTATTTTGGCATGAAAATTAGTAGCTAATATTAATAAAATATTGTGAAAAACTATACTATACTTATTAACATCTCAACATGAAATATTTCCTATAGAGTTTCTCATTGTAATTTTTTGTCTTATATTTAAGTATAAAATAGAAAAATTGGTATAAAAAATAACTAATCTTTACCTAAATAATTCTCTTTTCCCCTACTGTAGTTTTAAACATATGATTTTTTTTCTAAAAGATGAAATGCTGTTTTTTTACACTAAATACTTATTTCTAGATCATCTTGATATATGCTCTATTAAGTCTTAATTAGGTTACCACTTTGTAAGCTATTCACTTTCTCTTATTGATTTCAGAGAGGGAGAGTGAGATAGAAACATCAATGATGAGAGAGAATCATTGATTGGCTGCCTCTTGCATGCCCCCTACTGGGGATCGAGCCCATGACCTGGGTATGTGCCCTTGACCGGAATCAAACCTGGGACCCTTCTATCCACAGGCCGACGCTCTATCCCCTGAGCCAAACCAGCTAAGGCTATTCACTGTTTATATTAGCTCTACTCATATTTAAATTTTTTGTTGTGCCTGACTTGTCCTTATATCTTTGCTTAAAAGAAAAGAAACAGCATTATCCCTTTATTAGTAGTATATTCAGGAGTCTCTTCCATGTATAAAGATTATGTGAAAAATCAAAGTATGTATTACTAGAAGGAGAGTTGTATTTTTATTACCGATGAAAGATTTTTCATTTAAAGCCTAATGCCTCTTCATTTTCATTTGCAGAAAAGAAAAGAACCAGTTTTCCACTATTTTTGTGATACCTGTGATCGTGGTTTCAAAAATCAAGAAAAGTATGATAAACACATGTCTGAACATATGAAGGTAGGTGTTTTTCTGTTTGTTTGTTTTTTTATTGATTTCAGAGGAAGGGAAAGGGTGAGAGAGATAGAAACATAAATGATGAGCGAGAATCAACGATTGGCTGCCTCCTGCATGCCCCCCACTGGGGATCAAGCCTGCAACCCCGTCATGTGGCCTGACCAGGAATTGAACTGTGACCTCTTGGTTCATAGGTTGATGCTCAACCGCTGAGCCATGCCAGCTAGGCTATCCTGAAATAATTTCAACAAAATGGGTATTATTTGGTAGAAATTCTGTGCTTCTATTCCTTAAAAGCTTATAGTTAATAGAAATGTTTGATGACCTGACAAGTTGGGACAGTGACCCTGGGATTTGCAGTTTGAGGGTGAGAGCCCACTGCTTCAGGAAGAGGTAAGAAGGATGGTCTGGCAGCTGTCAGTATGTGCGGGAGCCTCTGCCTTGTAAGAGGGCTGGTTCTCCCCTCCAGTTGCTCTGTGCACCTTTGTAAGGTCTTTTCCTTTTAAGGCTGCCCTTGACCATTGATCACACCCTAATTTGCCCTGGCCCATCACACTCTAAGGATGGTCTGGACCTTATTAAGTACTTAACATTTTTTTTTAACCAGAATATTTGGGAAGCAAAATTAAAGAGAAAGTTGTTAGTTTGGAAAAGATTCTCTTTGAGGTTATAGAAATGCCCCCTCACTTTTAGGAATAAAGTAAATAATACATATTACTGTACTGTATACTTTGAAAATGTCATTTCTTTTTAAAAATATATTTTAATTGATTTCAGAGAGGAAAGGAGAGAGAGAGAGAGAGATAGAAACATCAATGATGAGAGAATCATTGATCAGCTGCCTCCTGCACGCCCCCTCCTAGGGATCGAGCCCACAACTTGGGCATGTGCCCTTGACTGGAATCGAACCTGGGGTCTTTTAGTCCACAGGCTGACACTATCCACTGAGCCAAACCAGCTAGGGCTGTCATTTCTTTTTAAATAACTCTGTTCTGAAATGATCTTTGTTTTGCTATGAGTGACAACACCATATAGATGGGATAACTATGTAATATGACTAGAAGACGTCTGTATATGTAGTAATGGGTATATTTAACATAGAAAACATTAACTAATCTTTTTTGTTTACCTTTTACAGTGTCCAGAAGTAGATTGCTCTTTTAGTGCACATGAGAAGATTGTCCAGTTCCATTGGAGAAATGTAAGTTCTTGTGGTTTTGTGTTTTTTCAATATGTGTTCTTTTCATTTTGTTGATCTGTTATCTTCAATAGCTCTTCATTTTATATAGCCTAATAATAACTAACATTTATGCAGTACTTTGTAAGACAATTTTACATCTATTAATCAATTTTATTTTCACAAACAACTATGTAAAGTAGATAAATATTGGCCCCATTTAAGAGATAAAATCATGATTTGCCCAGGTCCTCAGAAACGGATTCTTGCATTTGAGTTTTTTAACTCCAAGTTCTATGGTGGTTTTTCTACACCATGCTTCTTCAGATTCTTTTGTGTATTCATTATTTCTTTAGCTACTTCCCTCAATTTTGGTTGTTAGGTCATTAATTTGGGTCTTTAATGTCAGTTGAAAAGTGGATGCATTTACTTTGTAACCAAAATTATGTTACTCCTTTTTTTCTTATCAATAGCACTTAGCCTATATAATAAAACCCTAATATGCAAATTAATTAAACTGTGGAACAACTGGTTGCTATGATGCACACTGACCACCAGGGGGCAGATGCTCAACACAGGAGCTGCCTCCTGGTGGTCAGTGCGCTCCCACAGGGGGAGCACCACTCAGCCAGAAGCCGGGCTCACGGCTGGCCAGCGCAGCAGCAGTGGCAGGAGCCTCTCCTGCCTCTGCAGCAGCGCTAAGGACCCCTTGGGGGATGTCCACCTGCCGGCTTAGGCCTGCTCCCCTAAGCCGACAGGCGGACATCCCCCGAGGGGTCCTGGACTGAGAGAGGGCGCAGGCCAGGCTGAAGGACACCCCCCTATCACCCCTCCACCCCTCCAGTGCATGAATGTTGTACACCAGGCCTCTAGTCTAAATATGCAGGTCATTCTTTAAAGGAAAAGTCATAGTAAGGATGGATAAAACCCACTTACTTAGTTTTAAATTTTGGGGTATAGAGCCTCCATTATCCCCCATAATGTTGAGATTTACTAGTAGTCAAAAGCATATATAAGCTTCCTGATGTTCAGCAGGCTTTTTCCCCCTAGATGCATGCTCCTGGTATGAAGAAGATCAAGTTAGATACTCCAGAGGAGATTGCAAGATGGAGAGAAGAAAGAAGAAAGTGAGTAAAGAGTTTAGAACTAGTGAAATAACTTTCTTTTACTGTGGCAAGGCTGAGTACTTAAAAATAATGACTTTGCTCAAGCTGCTGCTTCTAGAAAATCGTACCTCCTCTCTCTTTCAAGTTCTGCTCATTGCTTTAGCCCAGCTGAAATCCTGCCACTTTGGGGATAGTTTTCCTCATCTGTCTGCAAGAATATCTTGCCCTTCTTTGAATAAGGTATCTGGTAGCTGCTCTGCCTCTTAGCTTAGACAAGCTATATTATGCTCCTATTGATGAACTTTGCATATGTATCTTTTTAAAAAATGATTTATAGGCCCTAGCTCCGTGGTCGGCAAACTGCGGCTCTTTGGCCCCTTGAGTGTGGCTCTTCCTAAGCCTTGGGGTACCCTAATTAAGTTAATAACAATGTACCTACCTATATAGTTTAAAAAATTTGGCTCAAAAGAAATTTCAGTCGTTGTACTGTTGATATTTGGCTCTGTTGACTGAGTTTGCTGACCACTGCCCTAGCTGATTTGGCTCAGTGGATAGAGCGTTGACCTGTGGACTGGGGGGGTCCCGGGTTCGATTCCAGTCAAAGGCATATGCCCGGGTTGTGGGCTCGGTCCCCAGTGGGGGTGCATGCAGGAGGTGGCCAATTCATGATTCTCTCTCATCATTGGTGTTTCTATCTCTCTCTCCCCTCTCCCTTCCTCTCTGAAATCAATAAAAATATATATTTTTAAAAAATGACTTATAGGCTTTATAAATGTAAGAACTATCTTTTACATGGTTGTTTATACTCCATAGTGCCATAGATATAAGGGATCTTACAAATGTTGATATATATAAATGGAGCTTGGAAATATTTTTATTATGTGTATACTTCTATTTTGGTACATATAAGTAAGTGGTTGGAGAAATCTTGCTGAGACTTTTTGTTGTTGTTAATCTTTACCTGAGGTTATTTTTCCTATTGATTTCTTAGAGAATGGCAGAGAGGGAGAGAACGTGAGGGAGGGAGGGAGGGAGAGAGAGAGAGACAGAGAGAAACATTGATGTGAGAGAGACACATCTATTGTTTGCCTCCTGCACGTACCCCGATTAGGCCAGGGATCAAACCTGCAACCCAGATATGTGCCCTTGACCGGGAATCAAACTCATGATCCTTTGTGCGAAGGGCGGACACTCTAACCACTGAGCAACATGTTAAATTCATGTTTTAAACTATACTTTTGTTATTTTTAAAGAAATTGGGCAGAAGAGAGCCCATGAATTCATTTTGTTTGGAAGTATCTTACAGCTCATTTAGACACCATGAGCAAAGCTCGACCTCCCGAGTTAAAAAAATGTATAGAGGAGAAGTTATCGTTGAAATCAAATGGTGGCAGACATGTCCAAGGAATATTGCGGGAATTTGATTCCTTTAGGAATCTTGTGATAGATTAATGTGTGGAGATGGCAACAGAACAATACTGGAATGGTGGTAATATGAGAAAATGTTAGAAGTCTTGGAACGTGTATAAAGAATGGCTATATTCACCAGAGAAATCAACTGCTTCCACATGTTCCCTCTCCACAGCACTGTTTTATTACAATGTGAAAATTGAGTCCTGTCCATTTTCACATTGAACTTTTGTTAAACTTTTATATTGGTCAAAAGAAAAAAATAGAAATTGGGCAGAAATGTGTTTATCTGATTAATAATTATGGTTGTAAATTAGTACTATAACTAATACTAATTAAATGGCTGTTGTTTTGAACATTAAATTCTCACGACATTGGACAATCATTGAGACAAATCAAAATGATTGTATTTGAATGCAGTACTTTCTAAAGTAGCTTTCCCCATAGGTGTGTGAACTATGCCCCCTTGTGGTGTTGTGCAACTAGTGCTTTAATTGGAAAAAAATCTACTGTTAGAGAAACTGAGGAATTTTAAGATGCAAACTAGCTTGGGTATCATGTGTTTATATAAAGTCCCTGATAGAAGACTAATTTGATTTTCTAATGCTAGTGAAAAATCTCAGCAAACCTTGCATTTATGTTATTTTGTGAAATCTTTAAATATTTTCTTAACAATAGTTTATCTTGAAAATTAGAGGTAAACATTCAGTATTTGGAAAGGCAAAGATTTTACTATATATGGCCAACGTCACTGAAAGTAGATAGGTGTAGACTTTTGCCTTGAATACTCTCACTCATGAGATGTAGGATAATTGTACATGATGTGCCCATGAGATTATAGACAACCGGAGCATTTTTAAGTTTAGCCATCTATTTATATAAAAGCCTAAGCGACCATCGCAACCAAACGGACGACCAAACAGGCTGTGTGAGGCGACCAGGCCGGCAGGAGGGTTAGTGAGGGATGACCAAATGACCGAGCAGCAGGCTGCATGGGGCCACCAGGCCGGCAGGGGGGTTAGTGAGAGGCAACCAAATGACCGAGCAGCAGGCTGCATGGGGTGACCAGGCCAACGGGGGCAGTTGGGGGCAACCAGGCCAGCGGGGGCGGGGGGGCAGTTGGGGGCGGTCAGGCCGGTAGGCAGAGGCAATTAGGGGTGATCAGGCCGGCAGGGGGGCAGTTAGGGGTGATCAGGTAGGCAGGCAGGTGAGTGGTTAGGTCCAGGATTGTGAGAGGGATGTCCGAGGGGTCCTGGATTGGAGAGGGTGCAGGCTATGCTGAGGGGACCCTCCTCCCCCTATCCCCCCGACCCCCTTGCACAAATTCCATGCACCAGGCCTTTAGTGTAGGGATAATAATGTCTGGTCAAAGGATACTTGGAGGCTCTGGAAGGCAGGTCATCAATTCATTTTGAAAGGTTTGTAAGAGGTCTAGTTCCTGCCCCCTCCTCTCCATTTATTTTAAGGTATGTTATACATACAGTGAAACTCCCCTCTTAAATGCATAGTTCTGACAAATGTGTATATCTGTATAATCACCACAGTGAAGATAAAGAATAGTATTCTGTCACCCCAAAACATTCCCTTATCGCCTTTGTGGTTGATTTCTCCCCCAACCTTCAGTCCCTGGCTACCACTGATCTGTTTTCTGTTCTTATTTGTATTTTTGCAGAACATTATATAAATGATATCATACTGTCTGTAGCTTTTGAATTTGTCTTTTTCACTTAGCACAGTGCATTTGAGATTCATTTCTGTTGTTGCATGTAGCAGTAGGTCATTCCTTTCTATCGCTATTGTTCTGTCCCATATGGGTGTCACATATATGAATATACCACAGTTTGTTTATCCATTTCCCAGTTGAGGAACATTTAGGATGTTTCCAGTATTTGATGATTACGAATAAAGCTTTCACAAACTGATGTTCATATTTTTGTTTAGAGCGTGGGTTTTTATTTGACTTAGGTAAATACGTAGGAGTTGTATTGGTTGGTGATATGATAAGCATGTTTAATTTTATAAGAAACTGCCAAAGCTTTTAGGAGGTGAGGTTTAAAATCAAGATATGCCTAGTTGGGCACGGAAAGCATTCACATTACATAGGATGGCTAGGATGCAGTGGTGCTTGTATCAGTTAAGATTGTGCTCCAATAAATGGAACAGCAACCTTACTACTGTGGCTTAGACAAAGATGTTTATTTTCCCCAAGTAGAAAAAGTCCAGAGCTACTGTTGCTGCTCAGCAGCACCATTAGGCACAGTCTCTTTCTTGTTACTCCTTAGTAGGTGGTTTCATTTTCATGTCCACCAGGAATTTCCACATATCCAAATATTAAGCCCACTTTCTAGGCAGAAAGAAGAGAAAAAGACAAAAGGCACCCATAACCCAGTTTGCCCCCTATTCATTAGGAAAACAATAGCTTTGTTTTTAGCTCCAATCAGGAGACTTCCATGTAACTTTCATTGAAGTAGATTGCTTGGCCACCTTTAGTGACAGCAAAGTTGATGGAATATTCCCAAACAAAGGAAAGGGGAGAAGAGGGAGTAGCATTTTCCCAAGTGCTTGGTGGGATTGTTGAATTTTAAAACGCTAAGACAGCGGTTCTCAACCTGTGGGTCGCGACCCCTTTGGGGATCGAACGACCCTTTCACAGGGGTCGCCTAAGACCATCGGAAAACACATATGTAATTACATATTGTTTTTGTGATTAATCACTATGCTTTAATTATGTTCAATTTGTAACAATGAAATTGGGGGTCACCACAACATGAGGAACTGTATTAAAGGGTCGCGGCATTAGGAAGGTTGAGAACCACTGCTCTAAGAGATACTTGAAAGCATCTCTATTCTGAATAAGTGATAGATGAGCAAGTGTTTAGTATGCTTATTGGTGATTCTTTTTGTGTAGGATAGGTGGGGGTAGAGGAGAGAGAGACTAGTTGTAGTTTCTGGAATGTAATCTGAAGGTATCACTATGACAGTGAACAGAGTAACTTGGAAGAAGACTGGGCAGCACCTAGGAGTGAATAAGGAGGTTACAGATTTGTGAAATTATAAAATGCTTAAAGAGAATGAGGATGACAATTTTGGATGAAGTTTACTTATACCTATAATATGGCTTTCTAACAAAGTGTTCTGAAATTGTCTTTTGGTGCTTGCCAAATTCATCTGAAGTTCTTCCATATCTTGTTTTTCCACTTGCTCTTTAACATAGTCAGAAATTATTTATATAAGTGTACTTTATTAGTAAAAAGTATGATAAACATTTATTTTGGCATATTTGATAGATTTCTCAAAAATATACTAATATTCTCGCCAATAGCAGTTTTTTAAAAACCTATTATGAAAATATACTTACTTTTAAAATTTATATTACCCTTAATTTAAAAAAATGTTATTTGAACTAAAAAGAGTACATTTCACATTGATATGGCAGAATAGTCCTTATGTCTTGAATTTTATCTTTCTGGTGAGAGCTACATTCTTTCTGAGGAAGCCATTGTATTTTTTGATAGGCAGGAAAGAAAGACCACGTTCCACAACTAACCTGCAAAAGAAGCCAAAACCAAACCAGTTCTTAATTCCTGACCTATGAAGTAGAAATGCTATGTGACTTGGCATTAGAGAAAATGAGTGGTAGAGGTTTATCTCCTAAGCCTCTATTTTAGAAACACTGAGACATGTTTTACAGCAGATGGGGATCCACTAGGTGGCGTAGTTTTGTGATGTTTATTTCAGCAGTTGCTGTAGGTCAGGAAATCCTTTGAAATTGTGTCCCCAATTATTTCAGAATTCCAACAGAGGGGCCCTGCTCCTAAAGAATGCTACATTTTTTGAAGTTCAGAAAGACTTTGAAATAAAAATATAGTTGTAGGGCTTGTGTTGAAGCAGTTGTGGGTCAGTAAGAGTAAAGAGGAATTGTGTTTTTATAGAGAACAGGATTAGAGAAGTCACTAAGTGGGTGGTGATTTGGGAATAAGGAAAAGATTTAGAGCATAATGTAACCAGAATGATGTATGCTAAAATTATGGTTGGCACAATTTTGCCCATTTATTGACTCTAGTGCTTAAGGATTGTCACTGGAGGTGTAAAGAGAAGGTGAAGAGGTGAGATGAATCAGGAAGAAGAGAGAAAAAGGGCTTATGGTTTCAGGGCCAGTTCCTCTTGGGGTATTGGGGAAAGATGGAAGTACAGGAAGAAAAGAGATTTTAGCAGATAAAAATAGAGAAACCAATTGTGAAAATACTACTTATTCCAGTGTTTATAACTTCGTAATATCCACTCTTTAACAGGAGATATTGGGCTAAGTTTTATCTGTACGTAATTGTGCAGTGTAAGACAGTTTGTGATATTTTTCAACTGAGATTGAATTGGTTAATTCAGCTGTACTTAGGAACCTGCCCTGTGGTTCTAACTTCATCAAAGCTCCAGGCTTATCTTTATTCTTATATCTCAGTATTACATTGCAGGAGCGGATTTCTGATTGTTGTGTGTGTAACTCTGTCTTATATTTCTGTATTCCTGTTTTGGGATAATTTGCTTTCTAATACCCTTGTTTTCCTTAGTCTTTAGTCTCTAGGTTCTGTGTAAATAAGAATGGTATAAATTTGGGGCCAAGATTTTATTAATTTAAGCACTGAAAAATAGAATCTTATAGCTTTGCAAGGGATATTGAAAGATCCCTTATCTTTAGGAAAGTGATACTTGAATATGCCAGAAAGAGAAAGTGAGCTTTTTAAAAAGACTTCCACCAAAGGAGTTTCCACAATTTCTTGATGTCTCATATAAGGAATTCATTTCACATCTCACCTAAACCACTTGTTTGTATGAGGAAGCCTCTACCACTCTAGTCAAGCACTAGAGTCAAGCACTATAACTTGCTATAACAAACATTTGCATTCTTCGTTATTGAGAATCTCTTAAGTAGCATCTGCTTGTGTGTATATGGTACACTCAAGTACCACATCTTATTGTTTAGCATATGGCCTAACATGTGAAGGGTCTGCAGTACTCAGAAGAAAAATGATGAGGAAACATAAGTAGTATGAATAAGTGAATTTCAGAGATATGAAGGGTGTTGAGTAGCTGTGAGTTGTATGCCTAGACACTGGGGCCTGTGAAAGTTATCACCTCTTTTCTCATTGTTTCTGCTTTTGTATATTCTCTCTTCAGATTGAAAAAGCTACCATCCTCTCTGTGAGATTGTTTATTGTCGTGTATCTTCCTCTTTTAAAGGCTGCAAATAATTCCAGTTCTTTTCATCTTTCCTCAGAGGTTTTATTTTTTATCCTGCTAATCATCTTTGAGTCCCTTCTGAATCCCTTCCAAGTTTTATTTTTCCTCAGCCCTCCTTTTCAGTTTAGAAATACGAAACTGGACACAGTGCCGGGAGTTTCTAACCAGTTTGGAGTATCGTGAGAGGAAGATTTCACGCTTGAACATGTGCCAGAGGCCATTTCACATAACCTTAGATTATGTTTGCTTTCCAAAAGTGTAGTCTTATGGTACTCACTGGCTGTCAGATTTTTATCTCCTTATGACCTTGATCTTTTCTTCTTATGTTTATTTATAGCTTGTGTATTCATCATCTTTTATTTATGGAGTTTATTTTTCTTAGCCGAATAGATTGCTTTGCACTGTCCTCATTGAAATTCATTGCCTTTTTTCTGATTAGTTTACCACTTAATGTCATTTCAATTCTTATCTTCCAACATGGCCAAACAATAGGCTTCCTATTGGCTGTGTTACTCAAGTCAGTGATGCAGGTTTTAACAAAAAATAAATAAAAAAGGAGGAGGTAGAAACAATGCCAGAATAAGATTTGTTGATGTTTCTTAAAATTCTCTAATGAGCAGCTTGGCTGAGTGGTAGAGATCTGTTTGTGTTTTCCTCCTGTGCTTTTTATACTTGTAAGATCTACTCCTTTCACCACCAGAGTTTGGTTCCTGCACCTCTACACAACTGTGCCAAGGAACAAAGAAAGCTTTGTCAGCATTTTATCTTGCACACTGCTGTCAAACTTAATCTTAATCACTGCCTTGTACATATCCCTCCCTGTTCATAACTTGCAGTGGCTCCCCATCTCCACTGAATTAAATATAAACTTCCTAGTCTTCCATTGAAGGCACATTTTGGCCTCAGCCTCTCTATCTGATCTGGTTGCCTGTAACTATGTTTTATACAGAACGAACCACTTGTCATTTCCTGGATCTCTCTCTCACACTTTCTGAGGCCTTGGCTAATCTGCATTGTTTGCTCTGCTTAGAACACTCAAAAGCTTTTCTTTCTGATTTCTGTCAATTAACACCATTTAAGACCAATTTCTTTCATGTTCCTTTCTTTCTGGATTTCTCTAGCTCGATATGATCTTTTCTTCCACCCTCCAATTTTTATATTCTTCAGGGGTAATTACTATATTTTGCCCTTTGTTAAAGCTATTTGTGTGCTTTTCTTATCCTACCTGGTGGACTATCTTTTTTGAGAACAGTCTCTTCTTCATCATGATAACTTTGGATGTTCCTACTATGTATTTGCATAACTGATTATATATTTTTTTCTACAGGTACGTACACACCAAATAGATGAATTGGACCAGTTTGAGCACAGTGTGTGATATATTTGATTTAAATTTTAGTGTAAAGCTCCTTACCTACTCACAGACTGGTAACAAAATTTGTGGACTCACAGTTGGTCTACACTTTGAGTAGCATTGTTATAGTCGACTGTTTTCCCCTTAAAAAGGTTCTAGAAGGAGGAATTAAAGGTGTATATAAATTTTATATGAAGGTTTATATAAATTATCACTTATCGTGTTAGTCCTTAAGCCAAGATTGATAAATACAGCAATTGCTTGATAGTGTACTTAAAGTTGTGTTCTATAAGTCTTTTTATAATTTTTTAAACTTTATTTTGTAGAAACTACCCAACTCTGGCCAATATTGAAAGGAAGAAGAAGTTAAAACTTGAAAAGGAAAAGAGAGGTGCAGTATTGACAACAACACAGTATGGGTAAGTTCCTTAAAATTGCTTATATTTTCACTGCTTATTTTAAACATTTATACTTATAAATAAAAAAAAGAGCGTATACCAAAATCTTAAAATATCTACACTCCCGATTCTAAAATATTTGCTTTTGTACTCTTTTACTTAAAAATTTTTAAAATAGTAATTGCCCTATATTTGTATGGTTTTCAGAAAGATTTATAATTAATAAGTCTTTTCTGTCTTTGTCTCCCAGCTAAACAATTCTCCTTCCCAAAGACAATCTATTTTATCCTTTCACAAATATCCCATATGTATATGTATACAGCACATAGATAATAATCTTTTTTTCTTTTTTCACACTATTCTACATCTTGGTTTTTAGCCAAATAATATACTTGTAGATTGTCCCATATTAATATATAACAGATTTCCTCATTCTTTAAGGATGTGTAGGCAGTGTAAGGATATCCCACAGGGTCGTTTTTTGGTAACTATTGACAGACACTTAAATTCTTACCAATCTTTTACTAATAAAAAGTTGCCATTATTGCTCTATACATACATTTTATACATGTTCAGGTATTTCTGAGGATGGATTCCTAGAAGTGGATTTGCTGAGTTAAAAGATATGTATATTTGTAATATTGATAACTAACTGCCAAATATCTATCATAGAAGCTCTTCTAATTTACTCTTCTACCAGCAATGCATGAGACACCATATTTTCACTATCCCTCACCTTCATAGATTTTTTTTCAGAATTTTTTTATTTTATTTTTTAGTGAAATATATTTTTAATATAAGTAAAATATACAAATCTTAAATGTACAACTTGATAGATTTGTGTACACACATACACAAACAACTATACACCTAATAATGCATTTAGGCAATTTTGTCATTGTGTGGACATTTTAGAGTGTATTTATGCAAAGTTGAAAATATGGTATTGCCTACTACACACCTAGGCTATATGGTATAGTTTATTACTCCTTGGCTACAAACCTGTACTAAATACCGTAGGCAGTTGTTAACACAATGGTAAGTATTTTATATCTAAACATAGAAAAGGTACAAGAAAATACTACATAAAAGATAAAAAATGGTATACCTGTATAGGGCACTTATTATGAGTGGAGCTTGCTGGACTAGAAGTTACTCTGTGTGGGTCAGTGAGTGAGTGGTGAGTGAATGAAAGCCTAAGCCATTACTGTATACTTATAATACTTATGAATTTATAATGTTTATAAAACAATTTATAAAACATGAGATTAAATCAAGCACAAGAGAAAATGATCAGTCAAGAGATGCAGTAAACATGATATGTATAAGGCTCTACTAATGTAACACAGTATACTGTTTTACAGCAAACTTTTTTAATAAATAGAGTGTTCTAAAATAACAAAAAGTATAGTATAGTAAAAAAACAAAACAAAAAAAGTGTCATTTTTACCATTCTTTTGTGTGTAATTTCAAAATAACTTTGTGAGATTCATTTATATTGTGTGTAGCTCTAAATTGTTTATTTTTATGGCTGCGTAAAACTCAATTGTGAGAATATATATCTTCTCACTGTTAGACATTTGGATTGTCTCCAGTTTGGGCTTTATGAATAAAGCTGTTATGAACATTCTTTTACATGATTTTGTTGATGTAAGAACTCATTAAACACACACACACACACACACACACACACACATATATATATATGTATATATATACACTAGAGGCCCGGTGCATGAAATTCATGCACTGGGCAAGAGAGGGGGGTCCCTCAGCCCGGCCTGTGCCCTTTCACAGTCTGGGACCCCTCGGGGGATGTCTGCCTGCTGGCTTAGGCCCAATTCCCCCAGGACCTAAGCTGGCAGTCAGACATCCTCTCGCAGTCCAGGACTCCTCACTCCTTACCGCCCGCCTGCTCGCTGCTCCTTACCACCTGGCTCACTGTTCCTTAGCATTGCCACAGAGGCAGGAGAGGCTCCCGCCACCACCACTGTGCTTGCCAGACGTGAGCCTGGTTTCTGGCTGAGTGGCGCTCCCCCATGGGAGCGCACTGACCACCAGGGGGCAGCTCCTGAGCGTCTGCCCCCAGTGGTCAGTGCGCATCATAGCAACCAGTCATTCGGCCAGTCGTTTGGCCAGTCGTTCCACTGTGTGGTCAATTTGCATATTAGGGTTTTATTATATAGGACTAGAGGCCCAATGCACGAAATTCATGCAAGATTAAGGCATTCCTTCCCCCGGCTGCCGGCACTGGCTTCCCTCTGGCACCTGGGATCCGAGCTTCCCTTGGGATGCCGGCAGGCAGCTGGGACCCGGGCTTCCCTCCCAGCTCCGGCTTCGTCTGGAAGGATGTCTGGTCTAATTAGCATATTAAGCTTTTATTATTATAGATAACTATATACCACATGTGTGCGTATGTGTATTTGTATATCATATATACAACGCACATGTATACATATACTAGGTCATAAGGCGTTCATGTATTTAGCTTTAATAGATACAGCCAAATAGTTTTCCAAAATGGTTGTACCAGTTTACACTCCTGTTAACTACATCTAATTGCTCTGTATCCTGGTCAGTGCTTGGTACTGTTAACACCTTTTTGTGTATTACCATTTCCTCATGACTAATGATGTCGCACACTTTCTGATACTCTTATTGGCCATTTTTGTATTCTCTTATGATACACTATTTCAAGTCTTTATCCAGATTTTAATTGGCTTGCTTTTTTTAAAAATTAAATCTTTATTGTTCAGATTATTACAGTTGTTCCTCTTTTTCCCCCCCATAGCTCCCCTCCACCCGGTTCCCACCCCACCCTCCACCCTCACCACCCCCCATCCCCCACTGTCCTCATCCATAGGTGCACGATTATTGTCCAGTCTCTTCCCGCATCCCCCACACCCCTTCCCCCCCCCCCCCCGAGAATAGTCAGTCCGCTCCCTTTCTATCCCCCTGATTCTGTTATAATCAATCACCACTTTATTCTGTTCATCAGATTATTTATTTACTTGATTTTCAGATTCACTTGTTGATAGATGTGTATTTGTTCATAATTTGTATCTTTACCTTTTTCTTCTTCTTCCTCTTCTTAAAGGATACCTTTCAGCATTTCATATAATACTGGTTTGGTTGTGATGAACTCCTTTAGCTTTTCCTTATCTGTGAAGCTCTTTATCTGACCTTCAGTTCTGAATGATAGCTTTGCTGGATAAAGTAATCTTGGTTGTAGGTTCTTGGCATTCATCACTTTGAATATTTCTTGCCACTCCCTTCTGGCCTGCAAAGTTTCTCTTGAGAAATCAGCTGACAGTCGTATGGGTACTCCCTTGTAGGTAACTGATTTTCTTTCTCTCGCTGCTTTTAAGATTCTCTTTTTGTCTTTTGCTCTTGGCATTTTAATTATGATGTGTCTTGGTGTGGTCCTCTTTGGATTCCTTTTGTTTGGGTTCTCTGCGCTTCCTGGACTTATAAGTCTATTTCTTTCACCAGGTAGGGGAAGTTTTCTGTCATTATTTCTTCAAATATGTTTTCAATATCTTGCCCTCTCTCTTCTTCTGGCACCCCTATAATTCTGATGTTGGTACGCTTGAAGCTATCCCAGAGGCTTCTTACGCTATCTTCGTATTTTCGGATTCTTTTTTCATTTTGCTTTTCTGGTTGGGTGTTTTTTGCTTCTTCGTATTTCAAATGTTTGACTTGATTCTTGCGTCCTCTAGTCTGCTGTTGGAACTCTGTATAATATTCGTTATTTCAGTCAGTGTATGCTTAATTTCTAGTTGGTCCTTTATCATAATCTCGAGGGTCTCACTAGATTTCTTGAGGGTCTCACTACATTTATCGGCGGTTTATAGAAAGTTCTTGAAAAACCTTAAAAGTGTGGTTTTGAACTCTATATCCAGTAGTTTGCTTTCCTCCATTTCTGTCATCTGTGTCCTGTTTCTTTGTCTCCACATTTTTTATGCTTCCCTGTGTTGGTAGAGTGGCTTTGTGTGCTGCTAGGTGTCCTATAGGGCCCAGTGGCTCAGCCTTCCCAATTACCTGAGGTGGACACTCTTGGTGCACCCCTTTGTGGGCTTTGTGCACAGTCTTGTTGTAGTTATGCTTTGATTGTTGTAGGATCACTGGGAGGAATTGACCTCCAGGCCTATTGGCTGTGAGAATCAGCTGTGTCTACAGTGGGAGAACTTCTGTGCTGAAGACACCCTTATGGGGCAAGACTTGCTTCAGTGGGGCTTTGGTGCTCACTGAGTCTGCCCCCTGAGTGTGTCCCTTATGGATCTGAGGACTTGTAATCTGGATGGTCCCACTCTGACCACTGGGTACACTGGCTCTTGGATCTAAGGAGGTGCTAATTTAGCCTCTGCCTGAGGCTACCTAGTAGGAGCTATGAAGAGATTTGCAGATTCCTCTTCCTTGTTTGGGGTTTGGAGGTGCCCAGATGAGGGCCAGCTGTGAAGCAATGCAAGCTGCTGTGGGGCCTTGGGCCTTCTCTCGGAGGTTCTGGGTCTCTTTGACCCAACTGCAGATTGTTAGGTAATTTTCAGATTGCAAAGGGCCAGGCCTTTCATATGCAAAAGCCTCTGCCACAGCTTGGGTGGGGCGGGGTCTCAGGGGATCAACAGGGCAGAGCAAGCAGCTATGGCAGATCCTCAGCCTTGCCCTAAGGGGCCCCGTGTCTCAGTGTCCCGGTAATTGCTGCAAGCACCTCTGAGAGAAAGCCGCCCTCAAGACAGTCCAGTTTCTCCCTGTATGAGTCCTGGGTCCCCAGAGACTTCCAAGAACTGGAGTTCAGAGCAGTCAGGGGCTTGTGGCTCCCTCCCGATTCAAAAAGACAGCCGCGTCCTCAGTCGCCAGCCCTTGCCGCGTGCGCTTCCGTACCTCTGCACTTTACTTCCTCACCTCCTCTGAGTCTCAGTGTGCTTTTCTCTTTCCTTCTAGTTGTAGAATTTCCACTCAGCCAGCCTTCCTGTAGTTCTGGATGATGTCTGTTTTGTCTTTTAGTTGTATTTTTGAATTTG